GAACGGCTGCTCTTTCTAGGGCTTGCGCCACCAAAAAGCGAGGGAGTTAAGAAGTGGCCTCGTGATGCACTCTCATGCTTGGCCTAAGTCTGAAGATAAAATTCGTGCGGAATATCTTGTAGCCCCTGATGGCGTCCGACAGACCCACGAGGCCATGATGGAATATCGGAAGAGCTTCTGGGAAAGATGTGGACCCTTCCCATGGGCATCTGGAGACCCTGGATGACACGATGCATGAGCTGCGGCCCCAAACGATGTGGTGCAGGCTGCTATGCGTTTCTCGGCTTCCACGGCGGTTGGGGCCGATCGGTCGTCTCCACATGCATTTATTGGACTTCCTGGCCAGACAATGTCTGCACTTGCTGCTATGGTCAGTCAGTGCGAGAAGCTGATGACCTTGCCAGAGCAATGTTTTTGTTGCACACGTGTGGCGCTCCTCCCGAAGTCGGTGAAAGATGAGCGCGCCATCTCGAAGTGTTCTGCGATGTACTGTACGTGTGCGCGCATGCGTGGTGATGACACAGATGCACGCTGGTCGGAAGAAGCGGGTAGAAACACGAGGTGGGAAGGCGTTGGAAGCAGACTGGACTTCCACCCGCCCCGTGAAGACGAAGGAACCAAGGAAAGCCACTCGACCTTTGAAGCAGGAAGGCGCCTGAAGCAGACTGGAATCTGGGCATCCAGAAATGCCTACTCTCGATGACCGACGTGCCTGTGGAACGCAAAACGCGCGCCGACGTCTGGGGCGCGAGGGCTGCCGGCACCCTCCAGGCCGCCCCTGCCTTGCGAGTGTGATGCCACGAGGTGGGTTTCGACTGGATTCGCATCGGCGGCTCTGCCCTTCGGTGGCGAGCGAGGGGGGGAAGCGAGAAGGAGAAGGCCTTCTCAAAGGCGGCGGGGCTTCTCAGAAGCCCTCGCGCCTCTGAGAAGTTCTCGGTGTCCTCGGGGAAGGCTTGGAAAACAAACTTCTCAGAAGTCCAGGGGACTTCCGAGCCTTCTGAGAAGGCCTTCTCCTTCTCACTTTCCCCCCGGGCTCGCCGCCGAGCATTAGAATATGGGTACATTATTCAACTTGGTGATCCCATCTTTTCTGGTGCAGCTCACTCTTAAGGTTTACGACCCCGTCCATCTGTTGGGTGTCGGCATCCTCGTTCATGCTGTCCTCGGCTGTTGGAAGTTCCTGGCACGATTTCGGAAGTGATTCCCACGGGCCGCTCGATTCTGGCAGGGTGCACCCAATCGACGCCGCGAGGTGACAGCATACCCGCACGACGTGCTCGATCGTGCCCATCGAAGGTTGCCCGTGGTAAACATTCGCTCGTGAGTCGACGATACCACGCGATTCATCCAAGGGAGTCGTCGACACATTCTCTCGGTCTTGCCTGGTGCTGCTGCCGCCTGCTTCCAGGACGTGAAGCCCACTGGCTGTGTTGTGTTAGCCTTAAGTCGGGCCTGTCCTCCTACAGGGGGATTTTGGAAGAAGAATCAAAAATACTCAAAAAATGCCCCCCAATGGTCAAAAAATACTCCAAAAAAGTCCCCAGGCTATTTTTTTATTATTTTTGACTATTCCTCCTGCAGAGGGACAGGCCCGACTTAATGCTAGCCTGGGGTTCTGCCGGCGGGATCCCGGAGCCGCTCCGCGAGGTGCCTCACGATGACCGGCGGCCACCGGGGCTCGCTCTCAGGGGTCCGCAAGGAGGAGGAGGAGGAGGACGACGACGACGAGGAGGAGGAGGAGGAGGAGGAGGAGGACGACGACGAGGAGGACAGGAGGACGGGAAGGAAGGAAGGAGGAGGATAGGAGCGCAGGAGGAGGACGACGAGGAGGAGGATAGGACAGGAGGAGGACGACGAGGAGGACAGGAGGTAGTAGGACGTGAAAAGAGGAAGGAAGGGGAGGAGGACAGGAGGAGGAAGTGGAGGAGGAGGAGGAGGACGAGGAGGACGACGAGGAGGAAGAACAGGACCAGCAGCAGGAGGCGCAGCTGGCAACTGGATCAAGCACATCGGGAGCCCACTCAGCAGAACAGAAGCCCGCTTATCAGGAACACGACTTCAGTGCTCGGGCCATTGGTGTCGTGGGGCTCGTGCTGCCACTACTCTCACCAGTAATCATCATGTTGCTGCCGCCTTTCGCAAGAGGAGCGAGCAACTACAGGCTGTCGCTGATGTGGGGCACACCCTCCCGGCCGACCGGGATCGCGGGAGCGGAGCCTGGAGCTGGGCGCACCCAGGAAGGGTAGAGAGTTCGGCCGTCGGCCATGGAAGCTATAGGAGGCGCTGGCGAACCGTGCAGGGACCAATCGTTGCTACTGCGGGCACTCTTTCGAATTTAGAATGGAGCCCCAATGGATCCTCCTCCTCCTCCTCCTCCTCCTCCTCCTCCTCCTCCTCCTCCTCCTCCTCCTCCTCCTCCTCCTCCTCCTCCTCCTCCTCCTGGTCCACTCCCCCAGGCAACCTAGTTATGCAGTGAGGATCGCGACTTCCCTGCCCACTGCAGCGCATGCTGTGGACCACAGCTTCTCATCAGTTCTGTGGTCCAGGATGGGAGGGAGGAGCTGACCTGACGGTCTCTCGGAGGATGCACACAGGCATGGTGAAGGAGGGACGGCATTCGGAGGCTGCTTTTCTTTGTTTGCTCTTCTTTGTTGCATTGTCACAGATGCGGTCCGGCCAGGGGCTCGGCGTCAGGACGCTGGACGTCCAACGGACGGAGGTCTACATCGGACGAGGGGTCGAGAAGGAAACACACATTTACACCGATCAGGGGGGGGGCCAAAAGGCGGGGGAGGGGCAAAGGTAGGATTGGAGGAAAACTTGCTCCGGACGGACCCTGGAAGAAGGAAACGCGTTAAACGGGAGCATCCGGCTGGGCCCGTTACCCAGCCCCACCTTGGGATAATCATCTTTCTACGAACCCCCGAACCGTGTATGGAGATCTGCTATTGTAATGAACAAGCCAGCTCCGTCCACATGCGCAAGTCGAAGTCTCAGGAGCTAGTGCAGACTGCTGGGAGTAGTGCAGACTGCGCTGCACGATGAAGACCTGCTGTCCGTTTTGTAGAGCCGTGGTATCCCTGCCCTTGCTGCTGCCATTTACCCTCTGCCACCAGCCCGTCGGGTTGTGCACCGATGAGGATTGCTCTCGGATGGAGGCGTCGTAAACGGGGGAAGTCGGTTTTGACAGCTCAGAAAGGAGGGATTCTAAGGATCATTGATTGCGATGGTGTGGATGGTCTGTCGCTCAACTGGATGAGGCGAGTGTCCAAAAGATTGATGTGAGGTGTGATGCTATACTGTCGGGTACCTTGCCTACTCGGGCTCAGTCAAGCCCCCGTTCTGAACTGTATGCGGTTATCATGTTCCTCAGGTATATTACGGGCTCTGTTGTGGCTTATTCCGGTTATGTTCCTCTCGTTCGGGGCCTAAGACGTCGCCGATCGTGGTGCAACGGACTTCCCCGATGTTGGAATTGTGGGTTTGGGGGAAAAGTGGGCTAAAGTGCATCCCAGTAGGCTGCTAAGAGAAGCTCGGGGCATCTCTCTGGCTGAGTTTTTCCAGAACGGTTGTGCTGCTTGTTTGGCTGGGAATGCCGCCGCTTTAGGAGAAGCCCCACACCGACGATGTGTAGGTTTTCAATGAGGTCGATGATGTGACTGCACATGTGTTGCTGCGCCTGTTGGCAAGCACTTTCGAAATCCGAATGTGCATTGTCAGCGCCTCAAAGCTGATCGTGTGGGGCGCCCCCACCCCGACCTCATTCCCTCCCTACTAAGTTCTCCTCCTCCTTCCTCCTCCTGCTCCTCCTCCTCCTCCTCCTCCTCCTCCTCATCCTCCTCCTCCTCTTCCCCTGCTCCTCCCTGTTCCCCCTCCTCGTCCCCCTCCTCCTCCCCCTCGTCCCCCCCCCCCCCAGCATCCCCCGCCGCACACACTCCCAATCACCGCGCGGCCTCTGCGGGAGTCGCGCGGGCGTCGGCGGCGGGGTCTGGCTGCTGAGGCCTTGAGGCTCCCACGGCGTCGGGAAGGGAGCAACGCCCCCTGAGGCTCGCCTGAGACGCGGAGGGGGACAGGAAGAAGGCCAGATAAGACGAAAGCCAAGGAAGCCCAAGCCAACCAAGGCCGAGATGAAAAACATAACCAGCTAAGAGCCCTGGTCCCCAGGCCCCGCCTCTAGCCCGCCCTCGCGGGCGTTGCGACTCGCCAGGTCAGGGAGGGAAGGAGGGAAGGGAAGGAGGGGAGGGAGGGGAGGGAGGGAGGGAGGGGAGGGGAGGGAGGGGAGGGGAGGGAGGGGAGGGAGGGGGGGAGGAGGAGGAGGGGAGGGGAGGAGCGAGGGGAGGAGCGAGGGGAGGAGCGAGGGGAGGGGAGGGGAGGGGAGGGGAGGAGAGGAGGAGGCATTGATCCATGTCGTCGGATCTGCTCAGCGCTCCTCTCGACTGCCCCGCCTCATGGTGGCGGCGCTCCCTTCGTCTCGACGGCCGAGGTAAGGACGCCAGCGCCGCGCATCCACGCGTCTGGAGGGGAGGGAAGCGGAGGGAAGAAAGTGGGGAGGGCGGAGGGAACGAGGCAGGAGGCAGGAGGGAGGGAGGAGGGAGGGAGGGAGGGAAAGGCGGAGGGAGTGGGGAAGGTGGGAGAATGGATCCCTCATCCCTCCCTCCACACCCCTCCCTTCCTCCACCCACCCCTCCTTCCTGCCTACCTCCCTTCCGCCGCTCCACCCCCCGTCCCCCCGCATGCAGAACCCGTTCGCCTCGCCGCGCCGCCGAAGGCGAGGAGCGACTCGTGCGGAGCCCTTGGGGCGAAGAGGCAGGAGGGCGAGAGCCAACGAGGGAGGGAGGAGGAGAGGAGCAGCGTCTACGAGAGCCGGAAGCGGAGGGACAGAGAGAGAGAGGGGAAGCGGGGGGGAAACGGCAAAGGGGTGAAGGGGACGAGTCTCATGGAAGCGCCGGAGGCCTGACAGCGCAAGCCAGCGTTCCATGGTGGGGGGGCGGGGGGCGCGCCCGCACAGGGCCGCGAGCGCGTCCCTGCCCGGCGCTGGGCAGAGCTGGTGGCCGCACCGGAGCTCTTCGAGGGCCGAGTTGCCCCCCAGCGCGGCGAAGATCGCCTCGACAGGGACCCTCCTCCTCCTCCTCCTCCTCCTCCTCCTCCTCCTCCTCCTCCTCCTCCCCCTCCTCCTCCTCCTGCTCCTCCGCCGCCGCCTCCTCCTCCTCCTCCCGGTTTCCTCACTCGCGAAAGTGAAGAGCTTGGAGCTCCGATGTAGACTGCACCGTCGGCGTCCACGGAGGAGCGCAAGCTTGAGGAATCCGCGGAGAACCGGAAACTCAAGTCAGATTTTCTTCTGACGCGCGTGCAACACTTTCCCTTTGCTTGGCTGCAACCACTACCTCCTGCACCCGCGAACGCGCCAGGCGCATGTTGAGTCCCCCCCTCCTCCGCGGACGCATTTTCACGCGTGAAGAATCCGACGCGCCCAAGTTGGGCCCCCCCTGGGGGGCCGTGGACACGTGAAAATACATGCCCCGAGCGCATGCACCAGGCGCATGTTGGGTCCCTCCCTGGAGGCCGCGGACACATGAAAAGACGTGCCCCGCGCACACGCGCCAGGCGCATGTTGAGTCCCCCACGCATCCAAGTTGGGTCCCCCCCTTGGGGCGGTGGACACATGAGCATACGTGCCCGCGCGCACGCGCCAGGCCTTTGTTGGTCCCCCCCTCCGCGCACGCATTCTGATGGGAGCCGTGGACGCGTGAAAGTACGTGCCCCACACGCACGCGCCAGGCGCATGTTGGGTCCACCATCCTCTGCGGACGCATATTCACATGCAAATAATCCGACGCGCCCAAGCTGGGTCCCCCCATCTGGGGGCTGTGGACACGTGAAAATTCCCGCGCCCCGCGCGCACGCGCCAGGCGCAGGCTGGGTCCCCCCCCGCGCACGTATCTTCACGTGTACGGAACCTGGTGAGCTAAGTCGGGTGCCTCGCCTGCGGCCCCGTCGTGGCCACTGACACGCATCAGCACGTGCCGAACGCACGCGTGCCGAGACTCATGTTGGAGACCCTCCCCCTTTTGCACACGCATTTCTACGTGTAAGAATCCAGCGGGCTCACTTGAGTCCCTCGCCTGCGGCCCCGTCGTGTCCAGAAACACGTACAAGCACATGCCGAACGCACGCGTGCCAAGAATCATGTTGGAGACGCCCCCTCTGCACACGCATTCTTCCGTGACCAATTCCGACGCCTGCTGCTCGACACCCTTCTGGTGAAGAGCCTTTGGCCCGCAAACGAACAAAGAACCCTGGGCCAGTGCCCTTACCGAGAAAAACACAGGCCCCATCCCCCTCCTCCTCCTCCTCCTCCTCCTCCTCCTCCTCCTCGCCCTCCTCCCCCTCTGCCTTCCTCCTCCTCCTCCTCCTCCTCCACCTCCTCCTCCTCCTCCTCCTCCTCCTCATCCTCCTTCCTCTCCTCCTCCTCCTCCTCCTCCCCCTCCTCCTCCCTTTCCTCCTCCTTCTCCTCCTCCTCCTCCTCGTCCTCCTCCTGCCCCCCCCCCAAAAAGGGCAATTCCAAACAACATTCCCCAACTTCTTATTACCACTGTTAGTATCATGTGGTGCTATCTGTATGATTACTGGGATTAATAGTATTACTACTAATATTACAATTAGTGAAACTATTCGTTGTATTCGTATCAGTCCTAGTACTAGTCGACTTAGTATTATTGCTTGTTCGTATCATTGGTATTACTAAAATTGATACTATTATGTTCAACCGTATTACTTTCAATATGACTAATAATGTTACTAGTGTTATTATTGTTGTTGTGATTGGAGTATTCGTATGATCACTGTTACCAGTGCTATTACTATCCGTATTAATTCATATCAGTATTAGCAGTAGTAGTCTCAGCATCAGCTCAATTCAAAGTAAAGCTAATAAAATTAATTAATACAATGCTTATAATTCACATTTGTTACTGAGGTCAGTCATATCATTGGTATTACGATCAGTAGTACGAATAGTGATAGTATGGGTACTGTGCTTGATGTCATGATGACTGCTAAGAACCCTTGTTACTGGTATTCTTATTGATATCCTTAACAGTGATACTGCCATTACTGCTAGCACCCGTGATACAATGTCATACAAATATTGGTGCTAGTGGTAGTACTAGTAGTAGTACTAGTAGTAGTAGTAGTAGTAGTAGTAGTAGCAGCAGTAGTAGTAGTAGTGGTAGTAGTAGTAGTAGTAGTAGTAGTAGTAGTTGGCTGCATAGTAGCAGTATTAGTGAAGTTAGTGTTAGTAGTGTTAGTACGGTCGTCTGAAGAGTAGTTTTACAAGTATTAACATTAGTAATCGTATGATTCATAATCGTATTTTGGGTAGTACTATTCGTCTGTATGTTGTCATCATCTTCATCATCGTCGTCATCCTCATTCCCAGCAACATCATCAGAATCACCACCATCGTCACCATTAGCATCATCATCAGCATCATCATCGTCATCGTCATCATCCTCTTCCTCCTCCTCATCATCATCAGCGGCATCATCCTCGCCATCATCATCATCATCACCATCAGCATGAGCATCAGCACCAGCATCATCATCATCATCGTCATCATCGCCGTCGTCGACATCGCCATCGTCATCATCATCGCTGGAGCCTCATCATCATCATCATCCTCACCAGCATCATCATCATCATCAGCATCATCATCATCATCATCATCATCATCATCATCATCATCATCGTCATCATAATCAGAATCAGTATCAACATCATCCTGCTCCTCCTCCTGCTCCTCCTCCTCCTCCAACTCCACCTCCGCCTCCTCCTCCGCCTCCGCCTCCACCACCGCCCTGACCTGGTTGGGGAAGAGGGTCCCGAAGCACGCTCCCAGGCCCAGCGACGCACGAGGGCGCAGACCCGAAGTGCCTGGCTGCTGCTGCGGGGGGGGGCTGTGCTCGCCGAGAGGCCGCAAGCAACGCTCAACGATGTGCTGCGCACTGGACCTCACAGGGCGGGCCCTTTCTCGAATCCGTGATTCGGTGCGGATCGCAAGCGTGCCTCGTCTCCGTCGTCTCGGTCGTCCTTCGTGTTGCTCTGCTCGGGACTTGCTGCCCCTCCAGACGCCGAAATTCGCCCGCCCGACGGGCCGAAGGCATGCCAGAATCTCCGGGTTCTGTCCTGTTGTCTGTATCGATTCCGCACGCGAATGGCGGCCCCTAAGAGCCCAGGGAGGCAAAGTACCCCAGTCAGGCCCTGGCAGGTCCTGGTCACAGATTGCTACAGGGGCCCACAGACACACAAATAGATAGACACAAAAATCCCAGGACCCTCCTTATCTGCCATATTGTCAAGATGTTCGTCTCCCCTTCACTTCCCAGATGTTCCATACTTTCTGGGGGATCGACGACTATCTTTAGGTCGGGCCTGTCCCCCTACAGGGGGATTTTGGGCGAAAAAATACTCCCTAAATGGTCACAAGCTATGTTTTGACTATGTTTGAATACTCCTCCTGGTCAAAGATGGCCAAAAATACTCAAAAGATAATCCCCAGACTATTTTTGGACTAGTTTTGGATTTCCTCCTGTGGAGGGACAGGCCCGACTTGAGACTACTTGTGTCTGTGCTGTCCCCTTCTGGGAATCACCCGAACTCCGGGGAGGGCACACGGAGAGCCCGCGACGGCCCCCAGAGCGCCCCGGGAGAGCGCCCCAGGACGGCCGCTCGACGGTCTCACGGGGGCCTCCAAGGCGCCTCCAGGGGGCCCAAGGACGACCTTCCAGAGGGCCCAGAGAGGCAGAAGAAGCCTCCAGGAAGACGCCCAAGAGAAGCCTCCAGAACGCCCCCCGAACGGCCCCAAGAGAGCCCCAAGAGAGCCCCAAGAGGCCCCAAGTGAGCCCCCAAGCAGTGCTTGCACTCGTGTGCTCCTGCTTCTCTGCCTCGGGAATTGGCTGGGTCGGCCGAGGTTTCACCTCCGCATCCCCCTTCAACTCCCTCCTCCAACTGGGGCCCGTGCTGGCCAGTTTTTCTCGTAGGCGCCTGAGAAGGATGGCGTCCAAGAGTCGAGAAGGGGATCGAATGCAAAATTGATGCACCCCAAAATCTATCTGCCCATCGAATCTACGACACATGCCAGAATGCTCCGTAGGTCTATGAAACAAATCCACAAACTGATCGTAGATTCGACGAAGGAACGATTTTGGGGGTGAACCCATTGTGTGGTCGATCCTCTGGTCGAAAGAAAGGGGTGGTCGTAAACATCATGGCCCGAGGCGCGTGCGCAGGCGAGGGGCGGACGAGGGGATAGAATCGAGAGGGAAAGCGGGGGCCATGAAACCCAGGGAGAGGTCATGGGCCCTCCTCCTCCTCCTCTTCCTCCTCCTCCTCCTCCTCCTCCTCCTCCTCCTCCTCCTCCCCCTCTTCCTCCTCCTCCTCATCCTCCTCCTCGCCCTCCTCCTCCTCCTCCTCCTCCTCCTCCTCCTCCTCCTCCTCCTCCCCCAGCCATGATGTCCACACCCCCTCTGTTGCCATCGCTCGGACGTCCACTGCCCGTGCATGTTCAACGTCGCGCGTGTATTTTTCGCAGGAGGATCCAAGATGCTCCCCGACGGTCCTCGCCGACAAAAAATGCACGCGCTCGAGCGATGCCAAGCTGTGGTCATCACCACCCTCTTGGCCGCCCCCGATTTCCACCCCGACTCCGCTTCTGACTAGATGAACATAAAGCTGCGCAAACATAAACTGTAGAGGTCCGCGCTAATGTCTTTGATGAAGGGGCCCTGGGACACACAAATGAATACACACAAATAACAGGATTCCCCATATTTTCCTGTATTTTCTGGGTTGTTGTCTTCCCCCCCACTTGCCATATTTTCCCATATTTTCCTGGGGATCGACGATGAATTGTGCTTATGTGTTTTTTCCCCTCCTGATTGGATCTGCGCTTGACCCCCCTCCCCAGCGAGCTCCGCGCGCCGCGGGGCAGCGCCGAAGGCGCCGCCAGGGTGCGCCACGACAGCTCCAAGCAATCCGCGCGGACCTCGGAGGGCGGCTGAAGACCGCCAGGAACGCGCGGAGCTCCGAATGCTTCCGTTTACGGCATGCCTTTGGGCGTTCGATGGCGCACGCCGTCTTAGCCGCAGCTGCCCAGCTCTGGCGCAAGGAGGGCGGCCGAAGGCCGCCGAGGGCGCGCGGAGCTCCGGAAGTTGTTATGCTCTTGCCGCTGCTTCTTCTTCTTCTTTTTCTTCTTCTTCGACGGACGGCCCGTCGGGGCCCGCAGAGGGCCTCCAGGGGCACATGATGGCCAAAGAACAACAACATATATGAGCCGTGCGAATAAATAGCTAGATACATCTGGAGTTACAGTACACGAATACATGAAAGAATCAGAAAGAGGGAGGCCAACGGTCATTCATTGTCCCTGGGTGCGTGGCAGAAGGGGGGGTCCGTAGTGCGGATTCTGCTTGTTGCGTTGTTGCGTTGTTGCTATTTGTCTGTTGTCGTCGTCCCACTCGCAACCCACCCGCGACCCAACCCGTGACCCACCCCGCGACCCAACCCGCGACCCACCCCGCGTCCCAACCCGCGACCCACCCCGCGACCCACCCACAACCCACCCCGCGACCAACCCTGCGACCCACCCGCGACCCACCCGCGACCCACCCACGACCCAGCCGCGACCCACCCCGCGACCCACCCGCGACCAACCCTGCGACCCACCCGCGACCCACCCGCGACCCACCCGCGACCCAGCCGCGACCCAGCCGCGACCCACCCGCGACCTACCCACATCGGCGCATGCGGCGGGCTCGTTGTATAGTGTGTGAAACTTTGGCGCCTGCGGCGGGCTCCTCCAGAGTCTCGCAGACTGCCGACGTCCCCACCGCCTTCTCACTCTTACCCGCCTCCGCCGGGTGCTTCGTAGAAATACAAATACCTATGTACATATATACATGTATACACATATATACATATATATACATACATACATACATATATGTATATATATGAACACACATGCAAATACATACATATATACATATATGGAATATATATATATATACCTACACGTATGTGTGTGAATAAACAAAAACACACGCATGCAATAAATACATACAACCGATACACAATGATCAACCGCTCTGGCCGCCTCGCCCTCGTCTCCCGCCGCGGGCCGCGGTGGCGGCGGCTTCTCCCCAGCGCCGGAGGCCCAGAGACGAGGAGCACCAACACCAGCAGAGGTCGGGGGGCTGCTGGAGGTGCCCCTAGCCTTAGGTCGGGCATGTCCTCCTATGGTGGGATTCTGGACGAATCTGAAAAATAGCCGAAAATATCCAAAACACATTCAAAAACAGTCAAAAAATAGTCCCCATTATTGCTTGCCTATTCTTGGATATTCCTCCTGTAGAGGGGCAAGCCCGACGTAACCCTAGCCCGAGGTGCGCCAAGCTTTTCGCTCCGTTTCGGAGCCCCTGGGGCCATCTGGACCTCGTGAGGGGTGCTCTGGAGGCCGTTGGGGCCTCCCTGGAAATCCTGGTGGATCCTTCTTGGGCCAGGGGCACATCCAGCAACACCCAAACAGGGGGTTGTCTCCGCCCCGGGGGGCGGGAGGAGGATCCTGGGTGCGGGTGCTGGTGGTGGTCTTTCGGCTGGGAAGCCCGAGTGTTGCCACCATCACGGAGATCGGGATCACCTTCCCTGGGCGGAAGCACACCGCCGACACAACCAAAAATAAGATTAACCTTCCCTGAAGTCGGTTGAAACAAGCCTGGGTCAATTTCAGCCGCCCGAAGCTGGAACGGCGCATGTGCTCAAGAAAACGGGTCAGTTTTCCGGCAAAGCTGGTCAAGAAACGCCGGCCCAGCCTTTCAGGAGGAGGTGTCTTGATCAGATGCTCGCCCACCTCCTCTTCTTCCTCCTCCTCCTCCTCCTCCTCCTCCTCCTGCTCCTGCTGCTCCTCCTGCTCCTCCTCCTGCTGCTCCTCCTCACTCTTCTCCTCCTACTCCTCCTCCTCCGACAACGCCTGCAGGTCGGGCGGCCCCAGGAGGTTGCAGGACAGGTCCTGCGGGGCCGCGCTCTGCGGAGGCGCCCACGCAGGCGAGGGCGGCCCCCGGACACGCCGCTGCCGCCGACGCCGCTGCGGCGTCCTCGCCGTCGTCGCCGTCGCCGCCGCCGCCGCTGCGGCGCCCGCGCCGTCGCCTTCGTCGCCGCCGCCGCAGCTTGGCATGGGGAAAGCGCGTCCTGAGGGAAACGGTCCCTGGACCCCAGGGCCTCCCCCGAGAAGCAGCTCCTTCTCCCGAGGCGTTTGTGATGGCCCCGGGCCGTGGAGGGCCCCCGGAAGCCCGACAGCGACAGGAACCCGCGGACCCGTCTCCTTCAGGGCCCATTCCCTTCACGGCGAGCAGTCAGTGTCGGCGTCCACGGACTTCAGTGACTGTCGCCACCCTTCGGCAGGCTTTCGACGGTGATCGGAAGGTTTGCGCGAAAGGCTCACGGGCAGGCTCATGGAAGGTTCCTGGAGACGGCCAGAGGTTCTTGGAAGTCGCCGTCTCCGTCGTCGCCGCCGACCTCGTCGACATCATCGACGCCGTCGACGTCGACGCCGTCGCCGCCATCGTCGTGTGCGTCGCAGCCGACGCCGTCGACGTTGTCGCATCCGCGTCGTCGCCGCCGACGGCGCCGTCGTCGTGTGCGTCGCGTCGCCGCCGACGCCGTCTCTGTCGTCGCCGCCAGCGTCATCGACGTCATCGACGGCATCGACGCTGACGCCGTCGCCGCCGTTGTGTGCGTCGCCACCGACGTCTGCGTCGTCGACGCCGCCAGCACGGGAGCCGGCGGCTGCCAGGGCTCGGCATGGCTGGGAGGAGGGAAGCACACGAAGGGCACGACGGCAGCAGCGCCGTGGGCGGCGCCCTCCTCCTCGCTCCTCGCTTTTCGCTCCTCGCTCCTCGCTCATCGCTGCGACCTCTGGGGGCCTCTTGAGAGCCTCTGGGGGCCTCTGGGAGGCATGCTGGGCCGTCCTGCGGCCGTCTCGGGGTCCTGTTAGGCCATCTTGGGCCCACGTCGTGACTCTCTTGGAGCTCTCTTGGACGATCTTGCAGCCATCTTGCCGCCCCCTGAAACATTTTTGGAAGTCTCTTAAAACCGAAATGGCCCCCTGAAGGCCGCAAACGAGCTTCCCGACCCCCGGGGACAAAGTGGGTACCAGGGGGGAGTTGCGAAAAAACTGGCCGCCCCAAGGCTCGGAGACCTGGCCGCCGGATACCATGTTTATTTATATAGATATATGTATATTTATTTATATATACGTATACATATACATATAGATATACATATATATATATATATATATATATATATATACATGTATATATGTATATAAGTACATTTATATATGTGTGTGTAAATGTGTACAAATATACATATATACATATATATATAAGCATATCAGAATGAGGGGGATGAACCGAACGGTCATTCACTGTCCCTGGGTGCGTGGCTGAAGTGGAATTCCGCGATGCGGAGTATTGCTGTTGCTGTTTGTTGTTTGTTGCTTGTTGTTGTCATCGTCGTACCACCCGCGACCCGCCCCGCGACCCACCCGCGACCCACCCCGCGACCCACCCGCGACCCACCCGCGACCCACCCGCGACCCACCGCACCCGCCCGCGACCCACCCCGAGACCCCGCGACCCACCCGCGACCCACCCGACCCACCCGCGACCCACCCGCGACCCACCCGCGACCCCCCCGCGACCCACCCGCGACCCACCGCGACCCACCCGCGACCCACCCGCGACCCACCCCGCGACCCACCCAAAATGTTCGGCGCCTGCGGCGGGTTTCTTTTGCATTCGTTCCAAATGGAAAACCTGCGACCCACCCGCGACCCAAACCGCGCCCGCGACCCACCGAGACCCACCCGCGACCCACCCGCGACCCACCCCGCGACCCACCTAAAATGTTCGGCGCTTGCGACGGTTTTTTTTTGCATTCGCTCCAGGTGGAGAACCTGTAACCCACCCGCGACCCAAACCTCGTTCACTGCACAAATGAAAATATGTTCGGCGCCTGCGGCTGGCGGTGTTTGAATTCCTTCCGGGTGGAGGTGGAGAGCCCGCAACCCACCCGCGACCCAGACTTCGTTCACTGAACCAGCCAAAACTTCGGCGCCTGCGGCGGGTTTCTTTTGCATTCGTTCCAGGCGGAGAACCTGCGACCCAAACCGCGTTCAGTGTACATATCAAAATGTTCGGCGCCTGCGGCGGGCTGTTTTTGAATTCCTTCCAGGTGGAGGTGGAAAGCCCGCGACCCAAACTACGTTCACTGAACAAGCCCAAAATTCGGCACCTGCGGCGGGCTGTGTTTGCAGTCATTCCGGGTGGCCCACCAGCGATCCCCCCCGCGCTGAACATGTCAGAGCACGCAAATCGGCGCCTGCGGCGGGCATGCCCGCATTGGTTTGGGAAAGCGCCGTCGTGCCATTCCCCCGATCCGGCCCACGTTGACTCTACAACAACACATCGGCGCCTGCGGCGGGGCTATGTCTAAACACGTTCATTGACAATCCAGCTGCCTGCTGCAATTCGGCATCCGTGCCCACAGCCTGGGTTCAGGGGAAGCTGCCTCAAGGCGCCCATAATTGACGGATTTCGGGGCGCTCAAGCACCCTCCTGAGGGGGACGTCCACGAACCCTACCACACAGCACGCCAGTGCCGCACAAGCGCGGCGGCGGATTTTGCATGCCGTCTGAGCCCCCCAAGACCTCTTCAAGCTCCGCTCATCCACACCAACCCATCCAGCAACTTTACCCTGGCGAGTTGCCTGATCAGGGAAGTCGGGGAGCATTCAGTGGAACAAAGGATTGGTTTGCCGTTATCTTGAAAAAGAAGGGCGAGGCAGAGGAGTAAACAGGGGACGAGGAGGACGCGGAAGAAATGCAAGGAGAATGTGGAGAAAGAGGAGGAGGAGGAAGAGGAGGAGGAGGAGGAAGAGGAGGAGGAGGAGGAGGAGGGGGAGGAGGGGGAGGAGGAGGGGGAGGAGGAGGAGGAGGAGCAGGAGGAGGAACACCAAGAGGTGCGAGGCGGAGGATGTGGAAGCTACGTTGACCTGTCTTGGGCTATCTGGAGAGATTTCGGAGGGCACCTTCAGCTGGAAGACACGAGCTGAGGGCCATACTCACCAATCTTCGACGCTCTAACCCCTTGCGGTCCCCCCTCTGGGCCCAGAGGCCCGGATGCGGGGGAGTGCAAACCCCTCCCCGAATAGGAACAACGAGATTGGTAGAGAGGAGGAGGAGGAGGTGGAGGAGGAGAAGGCGGACGACGACGACGACGACGATGAGGACGAGGACGCGGACGAGGAAGAGGAGGAGGAGGAGGAGGAACAGGAGGAGGAGGAGGAGGGTGCCATCGACAGGGAAGGTGAGGGCCACGAGGTCCGCCGGCTCGACGCCCGTGTCGCCCGCGCCCGCCCCCTCACTCTTATCCGCAATTGCGGGGTGCTGCGTATATATATATATGTACATATATATATATATATATATATATATATATATATATATATATGGTGCAAGCTATGAAGGGGCAAGCTACGCTTGCTGTGAGGTGCAATATGTATAGCGCCACTCGGCGGCGAGCGAAGAGGGCGAATGAGAAGGAAAAGGCCTTCTCAAAAGCCCTCGCGGCCCTCGCGCCTTCTGAAAAGTTGCCTGTGCCTTCGGGGAAAGCTTTGACAACTTCTCAGCAGGCCGGGGGACCTCTGAGCCTTCCGAAAAGGCCCGCCCCCTCTCACTTCCCCCCAGGCTCGCCGCCAACCACCTGCGGACTTCGATCTGTGTGGTGCAGACTGTTTGGTGCAAGACGTGGGGGGCAGTGCGTGTGCGGTGCAGTCTGTGCCGTGCAGTCTGACGCGAGGCGGCAGCGAGGCGGCCACTGGGCGGCAGACCCGGCCAGCCCCACGAGACGGCAGCGACGAGGCCGCGCACGAGGCGGCGAGGGACGGGCCCCTGCCGAAATCCTCCGCGGGCCTAGCCTTTTCCCGTCGCGGCGCGGCGGAGGCAACCCGCACGCGCGCTCGAGCAGTCCAGGGCACGGAGTACGAATTGTCAGGCGGCACGGGGGGGAGAGGAAGGCTGAAGGCGGCCGCGGGGGGGGCGGAAGGAGGGGAGGCACTCGCAGCGCGGGGAACATCGGCAGGAGTGGCTGGGGCTCGGCAAGACAAGCAGACCGCACAGGGAAATAGTCAGGACTCCTTTGTGCAAGTGCTGCTCTGGGACACAAGAAATGATCGGACCCAACTGGAAATGCGCACTGGAAACTTCTCCCTTTAGTGCGCTCAGGGTCCTTGTCCCCTTTTGAGTTGGGCGGGCTCCGAATGCCATGTGTGTAGCGCTCCTGTGTCAAAAGACGCGGTAGTGAAGCAACGATATAGGCATAGAGGCAACAAATAATGCCGCTGACCAGTGCAAATGAAAAATCCGTCGACCCTGTCGGCGTGTGTGGGGTGTCTGTCCGGTCCCGTCGACGGGGAGCCTTCTTTCGTCCCCTCCTTCCCGTTCTCCTCTCCCGTCGGGGAAGAGAGAGAGAGAGAGAGAGAGACAGAGAGCACCCTTCCTCGTTCGGGGAACGGGTTCGCAGCTTGAGGGAACTCCATCCACGCACTCGTTACGTCAAAGGGAAGCCCCTTCCCTTCGTCCCTTCCCCGGCGGGGGGTGGGGGGGTCAGATTCGCATCGCCTCTGGGGGTCCTCCTCTCCCACGACGGTCCGTCTCAGGCGCGCTGGCCCTCCTCGGGTCCTCCTCCCCAGGTGGGGAGGAGTCCCAGGGGGGGAGAGGAGTCAGATACGCTTCCGTCTACGGGGGTCCTCCTCCCCCTCCCCTCCCCTCTCCCACGCTGGTCCTCCTCCCCAGGGGGGGGGGGCCCAGGGGGGGAGAACTTTTCCTCTTCCTTCTCCTCCTCCTCCTCCTCCTTCTCCTCCTCCTCCTCCTCCTTCTTATCTCCGCCGCCTCCTCCTCCTCCTCCTCCTTCTCCTCCTCCTTCTCCTCCTCCTCCTCCTTATCTCCTCCTCCTCCTCCTCCTCCTCCTCCTCCTCCTCCCCCTCCTGGTCGTCGTCGATGTCTTTCAGGGTCGGCGGCACCGGCCGTCATGCCTTCACAATACAAAGAGGTTGAAAGAGAATGGTGCCCAGCAGTGAGTAGAGAAACCTTGTCCGGGTCCTTCTCCCCCCCTTCCTCCTCCCCTCCGCGAGAACGGAGGTCTCTCGCGTCCAGCACCCTCAACGCGCGATTCTGGAGCAGCGAGCCGGCGAGCGCCTCCGCCTGGCCGCATCCCCTCCCCTCCTCCGCCTCCTCAACTCCTCCGCCTTCTTCTCATCCCCCTCCTCCGCCTCCTCCCACTCCTCCACCTCCACTTCCCCGCATCCTCCCATCATATTTCCCCTCCTCCGCCTCCACCTCCTCGTCCACTGGCGTCTGGGACAAGTCCAAGACAGCGGGGGCAACGACAGAAAGGCGGACAACGCATACGAGGTGACGGCCTAACCACGTACCTTCAGCAACACAAACACGACCTGCATCCGCCACCCAAACTAACCACCGCAAAAGGCCAACCTAACGATCTCACCTGGGTCCCATCGGCTCAAGAGGGACTCACTTCGTCAACACTCGAGCGCCGACATACACCCGACAAGTGACAGCACGTCGCCAGCACCCAGAACGAGGACTTCCTCCCCGTTCTCCCCCTTTTTTCTCCAAACAACGTTTGCACTCAGAGGCCTTTACTTGTTTTGTAAAGAACTGGGACCTGGCGTCGCCTCAGCCGGCTTGTCGTCGCCCCGTCGCCGTCCCGTCGCCGGTCGTCGCCGCCCGTCGCCGCCTCGTCGCGGGCTCGTGTGCCGCCCCGGCAGGCTTGTCGTCGCCCCGTCGCCGCCCCGTCGCCGCTCGTCGCCGCCTCGTCGCAGCGCACAACATAGCTTACACCACATAGATTGCACCACATAGGTCTCGCACCATGGTTTATACCGTATAGCTCAAGTATACAGCTCACGCCACGTAGGTTGCACCACGTAGGTTACATCACATAGCTCACACCACATCAGCTCCACTGCATAATTTGCACAATTTGGATTGCACTACAAAGCTACACCACATAGATCGCACAACACGGATTGCACCACATCGATTGCCCTGTACAGCTGACGACCCCGTAGATTCTCCTTTGTTTAGAAGAAGACTCGACCCTCCCCCCAGGATTATCCGCCCCTTTTTTTTGCTATTACAATTTTCATTGTATTCTGCCCCATCATCCATCCTACACCATCCCACGGGCCAGTATCGCCCCCCCCGCCATCCCCTGCGAAAAAAATATGCGCGCACACTCGCTTATCAAAAACCACCAGTTTTCAAGACTCCCTTGCAAACAAAAAAGGTACACACGCGCGCGTCGTCGCGCGCGCATGCTGGAATCATTCAAAAACTCGCGGTTTCAGAAGGGTTTCGGGCTCGAGTGCCTGAAAAACACACAGGTCTCGCAACATTGATGTTGCATATATATATAGAGAGAGAGATAGAAAAAGAAAAAAAAGAGAGAGAAAGAGAGAGGGAGAGAGAAAACAAAAAAAACTTGCGCACGGTTCTAGATTCTTCAGATAACCAGAAGGTGTTTCATCATGTTCAAACCACGCTATCACACGGGTTTCGCGCGCGCGTCGAAATCGTTCGAACGCCCTTTGCGCGCGCGCCGTCGCGAGTCATTTTGCACAAACGCAAAAAAAATGCACGCGCGCGCGTCGTCGCGCGTGCATGCAGACATGTTGTTGAAATCTCTTCGGTTTCGTAACGATGTCAAAACCGAGTGTCCAAAAAGCATGCAAAAAATGGATTCGCAACATCAGTTTTCAAAACTGCGTGCGCTCGCGCTCTTGCGAGTTTTTTTGCGATGACCATAAGTTTCTCAACGTGCCCATGGAATTGTGCCACACGGGCCTCTGGCGCCCCATGCCGACGGACATCATTTGCACGCCCTTCCGCGCGCGCTGGGGGGCACACTCCGTGTCAAATAATATCATGCGGGCCACTCTCGCGCGTCGGCCGCGCGCGCATGTCGAATCCCTTCTAAAACCTTCATCATCGACGCGAGGACGCCGTCATCGTCATCGGCGTGATCAGCATCGGCGCCCGCAGTGGCCACGCCGTCGTCGTCGTCAACATCGCCACCCACATCGCTACTATAATCAACGTGTCTTCGTGTCCACCGTTGTCGACGTTGCCATGATACCGCGCCCGCCCAGGTCACCGGCTCGCACTGACATGCCCACTGGGACGTATGTGCCCAGGCGATCAGCGCAACCGTGGCCGCGTCGGTCGCGCGAAACATGCTGGCCGCTGCGCGCGCGTGTTTGGGCTGGCGCCGCCGCAGAGATGCACCAGCCAACGCCAAGCACTCATCGAAGTCGCCGCCGCAAGAGTTTTACAAACCAAGTTGCGAATGGGTGGGTTGGATGTTTGCAAAAGCATGGGATGTGTCAACTCGTTTGCACAAACGCATTCACAGTTCGAAAAATGGAGTCCACCACCCTGTCGAGGCCTGACTTCTCGGTACCCCCTGGGGATGTGCAATGTACATATGACCCTGCCCCATCGTCCATCCTGAGAATGAACTCGTACCGTCCGGCCGAACCAACATCTGCCCTCCCCCCGCCATCCTCTGCAAAGAATGCTAGGCGCGCACACTCGTTGATCACCGACCATCAGTTTTTAAGAACTCGTTGCAACAAATGGCAAAATGCACACGCGCGCGTCGTCGCGCGCGTATGCCGAAATCCTTCAAAAACCTTCGGTGTCGTAAGGATTTTTTAAAAAAAAAAAAAAAAAAAAAAAAAAAAAAAAAAAAAAAAAAAAAAAAAAAAAAAAAAAAAAAAAAAAAAACAGCTTTTGTAACTAATAGACATACATGTGCATATATATAAATGCAACACGGATATTCAAACAAAATTGCGCGCGCTCTTGCGAATTCGTTCGTTCATGTGTATATATATACATACCTACATACATACATACATACATACATACATACATACATACATACATATGTGTATGTATATATTATACATACATATGTTTATATATGTATATATCAGTATCAGTATCAGCATCAGTATCAATATCAGAAAGTGCGACCAGTATGTCAAGATCGTTCGAACGCCCTTGCGCGCGTGCCGTCGCGAAAACCATGTGCAAAAACTCGGGACGAAGTGCACACGCGGGCGTCGTCGCGCGCGCATGCCGACATCCTTACGAAATCTTTGAACAAAAAATGTTGCTTCGTAACGATTTCAAAACTGAGTGTCCCAATGTTTTAGTGGTTTTGCCAGATTAGTTTTCCAAACAGCGCGCGCTCGCGCTCTTGCGGGTTTTTTGCAATGGCAAAAAAGTTTCTCGACATGCCCGTGGAATTCTGCCAAACGGGCCTCCGGCGCCCCATGCCGACCGACATCCTTCGGACGCCCTTGCGCGCGTGGTCGGGGGCACGGTCCGTCTCAAATATTACCATGCGGGCCACTCTCGCGCGTCGGCCGCGCGCGCATGTCGAACTATGTCCAAAACCTTCATGACCGACGCGAGGATGCCGTCATCGTCATCGGCGTGATCAGCATCGGCGCCCGCAGTGGCCACGCCGTCGTCGTCGTCAACATCGCCACCAACATCGCTACTAGCATCATGGTGTCTATCGTTGTCGCCGTTGCCATGACACCGCGCCGCCCAAGTCGCCGACTCGCACTGAAGCGCACGCTGGGATGTGCCGAGCGGTCAGCGCCACCACGTTCGCATCGGTCGCGCCAAAATCGCTGGCCGCTGCGCGCGCGAGCATGCGCGGGCTAGCGCGGACGCAGAGATGCACCAGCCAACACCAGGCACTCGTCGCAATCGCCTCCGCATGAGCTTAGTTTCGCGTGGGTGGGTGGAATGGTTGCGCGAGCAGTGGAGTCGACAGTTTCAAGTTCGGAAAGGTGAATCGCACCACATAAATTGCACCACGTACATTGCACCAACTAGCTTACACCACACAGCTTGCAGCACATAGCAAACAGCACATAGCTTGCACCACATAGCTTACACCACATAGTTTGCACCACATAGCTTGCACCATGTAGATTGCATCACCCAGTATGCTAGAAACCACTGTTTCTGGTCCACCCTGGCTAATACACTTGTGATCCGTATCGCAGTCACCATGCTTGTTTTGCCCCGAGGCCATGGGTTCCCGCACCAACTCTCAGCTAGGTCCATTCGACTGTCCGAAAAGGTGGTTCGTTCGTTCCTCCCCTCCTCCTGATCCACCACCTCCTCCTCCTCCTCCTCCTCCTCCTCCTCCTCCTCCTCCTCCTCCTCCTCATCATCATCATCATCATCATAATCATCATCATCAAATGTATGTTTCTCCTCCCCTTACCGCCTTCCCCATCCCCATCACCATGACCATCACGGCCATCATCATCATCAGCAGCCACAGTATCATCATCAGCAGCATCATCAGCAGCAGCAGAATCATCATCATCGTCGTCGTTATCATCATCACCATCATTATCAGCATCATAATCGTCATTAGCATCATTATCATCATTATCATCATCAGCAGCATCATCACCATCACCATCACCGTCACCGTCAACATCACCATCACCCTCATCAGAATCATCATAGTAACCATCGTCATCATCATCATCGTTTCCATCAATCGTGCGTCATCATCCTCTCATCCTCCTCATAATCATACTCATACTCCTTGCAATGTTTCATCCATCCTCCCTCATCCCTCATTTCGCCGCCATCTTCTTCTCATGCATGTCCCCTGGTCTTCTCATCCTATTCATCCCCCTCCTTTTGCTGATCATCGTCCAGTTTATCAGCATCCTCACTACCATCGTTGCCGGTATATTCATAATCGTTTCAATCTTCTGTCTCATACTCACCAACACCACCACCATCATCGCAATTGTCACCAGCAGCAGCATCAGCAGCAGCCTGAGCGGCACCAGCATCGTGGCCACCATCAGCAGCATAAGCATCAGCATCGCAACTGCCGCCGTGGTCATCGTCATCATCGACGTCGCGGTCGTTCTCACGACCGTCGCCACAACCACCGTCATCAACACCATCGTGGTGGCAGCGCCGCGCTGAACAGCGGGCGGGGCACGCAAACCATGAACTGCTACCGCGCGAAGCCCGCACCCGAAGCGAGACGCGCCGTAGCCGACCCCGAGCGCGCGGGACGGAACGAAACGGGCTTGCGACCGCGAAGGTGACGGCGACGGCGGCTGGCAGACTGACGGGCTGCCCGACGGCGACCACCCAACCGACGGAGAACGACGAAGACGACGACCGCGACGACGACAACGACAGACCGACCGACCAACCGACGCCGACGCCGACGCCGACGCCGGCGCCAGCGCCGACGACGACGACGACGACGACGACGACAGACCAACGACAACGACGACGCCGACGCCTGCGACGACGGCGACAGACAAACGAAAACGACGACGACGACGACGACGACGACGACAGACAGGCCGACAACGACGACGACGACGACGACGACGACGACGACGACGACGACGACGACGACGACGGCAGACCGACGACGACGACGACGACGACGACGACGACGGCGGCGACGACGACGACGGCGGCGGCGGCGGCGACGACGGCGGCGGCGGCCACGACGACGGCGGCGGCGGCCACGACGGAGACGGCGGCGGTGGTAGCGGCGGCGGCGGCGCCTGCTGCCCCCCGCGCAGGCCGCAGTCTGCCAGCAGCAGCGTGCGGAGGTGCGTGTTGGCCCCCAGGCTGCTCGCGAGCTTGGGCCCGACCCTCGGCTCCTCCTGGCGGGGGGGGGGCTGCGACTGCGACCGCGACTGCGGCTGCGACCCGCAGTGCCAGAAGAAGACGAAGCGGCAGAGACAGAAACTCTTGGCGCTCCTCCCAGAGTTCCTGGGTCTGCGCCAGACCCCCCTCCCTGGTGCGCGCAGCGCGCCAGGGGCGGCGCCGGAGGCGCCGCCGGGAGGCCCCAGCGCGTAAGAAACCCGCGCGGAGCGCCACAAAATATCGGTTGATGGCGTTCGTTCTGCTTCTGATTGCGCGCCCTGCAGGTGCCGCGGGCGGGGGCCGAACCCAGCGCGTAAGAAACCCGCGCGGAGCGCAAAAAAGTATCGGCTTATAGCGTTGGTTCTGCTTCGGATTGCGCGCCCTGCAGGTGCCGCGGGCGGGGGGCCCGAGCGCACGCAAAGACCACCACTCCTCCTGGCGAGAGGGGGGGGGGCAGGACCGACCGGCAGCGACTCCGGAGGGCGGCTCGAGCATCGAGGTGTACGTGTAAGTCGGGCCTGTCCCCCTGCAGGGGGATGTTCGACGAAAGATCAAAAACACACCCCAAAAGTACCCCAAAAAGGTCAGAAAGTACATAAAAAGTAGTCCCCAGACTATTTTTGGACTATTTTTTGATTTCTTTGGGGTAGTTTTTATTTTTCTTCGAAAATCCCCCTGTAGGGGGACAGGCCCGACTTAAGAGTACGTCGGATCGGAACGCATCGGCACGGCGTCAAGATCGTACCGGACCAGCTGCGCCAGGATGCGCAACAGCGCCATGCAAGCATCGGCCACTTTTGGATCGCCGAAATATCGGGATCGATCTGGATCAGGCCGGCCGAACTCGATATCGAATCGGACCTATCGGATCGAAGCGGACCCGGAGGAAGGGGAGAGAAGATGAGCACTCAACGCATCGCAACGAGATCCGTACCGCGTCAGAGGCGAAGACGCAACAGAGATACACAGCGCCCGCTCACACAGGCCCTCCAGCCTGACTCACAGCGAGCGTCCTCCCCTGATGCAGAAGCGCGCTTGGCGACCTGGCCAACCCATTCGTTCCCAGGGCGTCCGACATTCTCTGCAGATCTCTCTGTGGCCGACGTGCGCCCTCGAGGACGACCATGCTGCGTTTCGTCGGAAAGCGCTGGGGGGGGGGGGCCGGGAGAACGCCAGCGGCACGCCTGCACCGAGAGCCGGTCCTGAACGGGCCCCGCCTGGGCCCAGGGTGGGTGTACACAGGCCTTGCTGGTCTGGCCGGGAAGGTACGGCAGGTTCGTGTCGTGCCGACCCCAGCGTTGGTTTTTGACTCCGCAGGGATCGTTCAACCTTGAACGATCGGCCGCTGCCGCAACGTCCGATCGTTCAACATCGATCGATTCTGGGTCGCCGGCGGCGTTCAACCTTGAACGTCCGCGCTGGGGTCGCCGCTGGTCGACACGACGCAAACCTACCGGTACACCCTGCGAAATGCTTAAGAAATCATGGGTTAAGAAATTCATAGTCTCAGAACTTGGATAAAACCCAGAACTTCTATCAAAATCTTGGGATTTACACTGAAACGGTAAGAATAATCGACACTCTGGCCGAAAACTTAGGTTTTCTTAAGCATCGCATGAGGTGTACATGCAACGATCCTGGGCCCATGATCTGACTGGCCGGGATCGGCACAGGTGCACAGGTGGCGCCAGGACCACGATCGGTGCAGGTGCAGCCCCATCCTGGGCCCAGGAGAAGGCTGGCCAGGATCGGTGCAGGCGTGCGCCGACAACCCTAAGCCGACCCTGGTCGTGGGCAGGCAAAGCGCTTCGGATACATACAGGGCTCCCACAGTGCCAGACCAACAGGACTCTGATGTTCCTAGCGTGCGCTCGCCGAGGCAGCACGGAATAAAAGATAGGCGGATCCGCTAGCAGGGGTTTGGAAGAGCCCCCCAGTTACCCCCAAGGCGGCCCAAGAGGCCTCAAGAGGCTTCCAAGAGGCACCCAAAAGGCCCCCAAGAGGCCCCCAAGAGCCAATCAGATGCCCCCCGAGAGCCCTCCAAGGCCCCTGAGAGGCATTCCCGGAGACCCTCACATGCATCCAGAGGCTCCTGACCCACAGGCCAGGCATAGTGGCACGATTCTTAACGAATTCGCTGCTGTGGGGGTTGGCGGAATGGCGTAAAAGCCTCTTCGATAGAAAAGGGCTGATCTTCCAGAAGGGGTTTAGAACGGGATACGGGAGACGGACTTACTCGGGTCCTCCCGCTGCGAGTGGCGTCACTGTCAAGGCGGCGGCGTGCGAGGAGGAGGAATGAGAAGCGGCGGGCCTTCTCAGAAGGCTCGGAAGGCTCGGAAGTCCCCCGGCCTTCTGAGAAGTCTTCCCCGAAGACACAGAAAACTCCTCAGAAGGCCGGACAGAAGGCCGGAGGCCTTCGGAGAAGTCCCGCCGCCTTCTGAGAAGCCCTCCCCCTTCTCACATTCCTCCCCTCGCTCGCCGCCGAGACAGTGTCAAAAGCCACCCCCAGAGTCACCCCTGCTCAGCGGGGGCATCGCGAGCAAGAGCCGAGGCAGCTCCGCGGCCAGCGTGGGCGAGCGCAAGCACCAAAAGGCGGCCCGGCGGCGCGCAGCCGTCTCCCGGGCACCTCGCGCACATCACGCCCGCAAGTGGGGGGGAGCGGTCACGAGCCAAAGAGTAAGCTCGTGCCTTGACGACGGAAGGTACGGCGGCAGACAGAACCAACAAAAACAATGAACACAGACCTCAAGCACAACAACAACAACAAAAACAACAACAACACCAACAACAACAGCAACAATCATTTTACCCGAACGCTCAGTGTTCTCACCAGTGCCAGGGTTTTCATGCGACGCGAGACAATACCCCCACTTCGTGGGGGGGCAGTTCAAGCTCTACCAAATATCCAAACGACTCTTCGCGACCACCCAAACCCAGCTTCCCGCCCTATGACGTTGGGACACTTCACTTCGTGGCGTGCGGACGACCGTGGCTACTACACTGGCGTGGGGTACACACCCACAGAACTTGGTCACTTATTCGGGGCGCGCGTGTGCCCAGCATCCTGCAATTGTGACATACAATACATGACACAGACAGACAGAGAGAGAGACAGAGAGCAGACAGAGAGAGAGACAGAGAGAGCGGAGTTGGTCACATTTTTGGGGCAAGTTCCTGAGATCGTCGTGTTTTTTGTTGGTCTTGCGCGCGCGAATGTCCACTTTACTTTTTTTTGCAAGGGAGTATTGAAATTTGATTATGTTAGAACAAGAAAAAGTAGCTCGCGCGAGCTCATGTAACATAAATGTTGAAAAACCATTGGTTTTGTGGGAGTCGGACAGCGCGCGCGGGATGAAATTTGGACATTTTTTTTTGAAAAACCATTGGGTTTTTGATGTTTTTATGTTGAAATCGTTACGAAACCTAAGGTTCTGGAAGGATTTCGTCTTGCGCGCGCGAATGTCCACTTTACCTTATTTTTTGCAAGGGATTATTGAAATTTGATTATGTTAGAACAAGAAAAAGTAGCTCGCGCGAGCTCATGTAACATAAATGTTGAAAAACCATTGGTTTTGTGGGATTCGGACAGCGCGCGCGGAAGGACATTTTGACAATTTTTTCTTAAAAAACCATTGGGTTTTTGACGTTTTTATGTTAAAAATCGTTACGAAACCTAAGGTTTTGGAAGGATTTCGTCTTGCGCGCACGAATGTCCACTTTACCTTATTTTTTGCAAGGGATTCTTGCAATTTGATCAAGTAAGAACAAGAATTTTCATTTTATGGTGTTTTTTGCAAGGGAAAACGGATTACAACAAAACAACCGGATCCGGTACCAATCGTTTTGCCTGAGACTTCCTCACGAAAATGATGAAAATGTGGCTGCGGCCTAGGCGCGGCGGGGGGGTCGTGCACCAGGGGCCCCAACAATAATTATTCTTAAGAAGAAATAATGTTCAACGACAACGACAACGACAACGCAGCCAACAACAACCACAACAGCAACAACAACAGCATCAGCACCAACGATAACAACAATTACAACAACAGCGACAACAGCAGCAACAACAACAAACGACAACATGAAGACTGAGCAACCACAAGAACAACAACAAAAACAATCACCACAGCAACCACAACAACAACCACAACCACGACCACGACCACAACCACAACCAAAACCACAACCACAACTACAACAACAAAAAACAGCAACATCACCAACCACAACAACAACCACAACAGTAATGTTAAGACTGTTCGCTTCTGATCTGCTCGCGTGCCGTTCATCACGTATATCCCAAACCCTCGACATCCGCCCTCTTCGACTGCAACGTGTATTTCGTGCAGTCTATGAGGCAGGAGAAGAAAGGACGGATGGAAGGGACAAGGAACAGGCGGGTTGCTAACGCGTGCGTCCTGCATGAATCGCGAGGAAGTCTCTAGCGATAGCGCGATTCCCAAGTTGATCGTCAGAAAGGTCAGAGCGAGAGCGTGATTTCTGAGTGTCGAGGGCATGGCGTCTGAAGAAATCCAGAGGAAGTCCCACGAGAGCGCGATTCTTGTAAAAATTGTGGAGAAATCCCGCGCGAGAGCGCAATTTGGGAAAAAGTGTGACGAAATATCAAGTGGGAGCCGTTGTTGTTGTTGTTGTAAACTGGAGCTCACCAACACAGTTTGGTGACACTTCACTTTCCCTTGTCAGAACCAGGGTGCGAGCCCCGGTAGAAGCACTTCAATTGAAAAATGCAACTACAATGGTCACTGGAGAAGGGAACAACAATCATTACTCTTTAGAAAGAAAGTTCAAGAACAACAACAACGACAGTGACAACGACAACGACAACGACAGCGACAACAACAACAACAAAAACAACAACAACAACAACAACAACAACAACAACAACAACAGCAGCAGCAGCAGCAGCAGCACCAACAATCAGTCTAAAACTGTTCACTCTCATCCGCTCGCGTGCTATTCAACACGCATATCCCAAACCCTCGGTACCCGGCCCCTTCGTCTTCCATCGTACCCCCTTGGGAGTGTATCCTCGTTACCTGCCACGTGTCATCGGTGCAGCCCCTAAAGCAAGGGAAGAGAGGACAGATGGAAAGGGATGGGAGAAGAATGGAGCACGGGAGAGATTAGAAGGGGCCTGGAGCAGATAACACGTGGCAGAACCAGACGGGCTGATCGGGCGGGTAGACCCGAACGGTCGAGCAGGCGGGTTACTGAAGCGTGAGTACTGCACGAATCGCGAGGAGATCTCAAGCGATAAAGCGGTTCGCAAGTAAACCATAAAGAAAACCAAGCCGAGAGCGTGACTTCTGAGTGTTGGGGGCACGGCGCCGCCACCAAGTGCGAGGGAGTACCACGCAATACCGCCATGCATAATTTGTAAAGAATTCCCACGCGAGAGCGCGATGTTGAAATGAGTGAGGAGGCAGTATCAGGCGCAAGCCGTTATTGTTGAAACTCAGGGGCCAACGTCCGAATTTGAGCGACAAGACTTTCCCTTGTAAAACACAGGGTGCGAGCCCTAGGCGGAGCACATTAATTTAAAAACACAATGGGCTCCAGGGGGGTCAACAAGAACTGTCCTTTAAAAGTGGAACCCAAAAACAATGACAACGTCAACAACAACAACAACAACAACAACAACAACAACAATAACAACAACAACAACAACAACAACAACAACAACAACAACAACAACAACAACAACAACGACGACGACGACGACAACAACAACGTTAACGACAACAATAACGACAACGACAACGACAAAGACAACGACGACAGAAGCAGCAACAACAACCACAACAACAGCAGCAGCAAAAACAGCAGCAACAACAACAAAACAAAAAAAACAGCAGCGACAACAGCAGCAACAGCCAAAAAAAACAGAAACAACAACAAAGACAACAAAACAGCGGACCGCTGCTCCGCCGCCTGGCTGGCGCCCCCGTCACCCCAGGGGGGGCCGGGGCCCGCGGGCACCAGTGCAGCGCCTGCCTCCGCCCCTCCCCTCCCGCCCGCCCTCGGCCCGCACAGCCCGAGGCCAGGCCCGGGCGCGCGAGGACTCGCCACTGCCGCCGCCGCCGCCGGAGTCGTCGGCTCCGTCGTGGCCGTCGTGATCGTCGTGGCCGCCGCCGTCGCCGCCGCCGCGGGCGTCGATGCCGCCGCCGCTGCCGCGGCCCTCTGTGCCCCGCGCGCCGGCCCTCTGTCCGGCGGCGGCAGCACGTAGGTCGAGAGGTCGAGCTCTACCAGGCTGGGGTCGTTGAGCGCCACCCGGTGCACCATCCAGACCATCCAGGTGCCTCGGCTCCGCGGGCATCCCCTCTGCCTCGCCCTGCCCTTTCTCCCTGCACGCCCTCGCGGCTTCTCCTCCCCCCTCCCCCTTTTCCTCCTCCTCCTCCGCCTCCTCTTCCCCCCCCCTTTTCCTCCTCATCCTCTCCCTCCTCATTCTCCTCCTCCAACCCTTCCGCCCCTCCTTATCTCCTCCATTCCTGTTCCTTATATACAACTTCTCCCCGTCGCACCCTGGGGCCAGTTTTTAGGGCGGTCCGGGCGTTTCGCCTAAGACTTCCTCACCATTTATGACCCTGACGCTTGAAAACTGACAAAAGCTTCACAAATGGAGGGCGGGTCGTTTTCAACATGTGGCTGTCGCCTCAGCGCCGCGCACATTCGTTCTAAAGATTTGCAAGAGCTTCACGGATTGAGGGCGGGTTGTTTTCAAAATGTGGCTCTCGCCTTAGCGCGGCGCACGGTCGCTTTAAAAGTTGCAAGAGTTTCACGGATTGTGGGCGGCTCCTTTTCAATATGTGGCTCTCGCCTTAGCGCCGCGCACATTCGTGTTACATCCGTTAAAATCTGCAAGAGCTTCACGGATTGGGGGCGGCTCCTTTTCAAAGTGTGGTTCTCGCCTTAGCGACGCGCACACTCTTTCTGTAAGTTGCACGAGTTTCACGAATTCGCATGATCAGCGTACCAGAAATTGTGTTTTGGAAGGATTCAGGATTATACGTTGGCTCGCGGTGTTGAAGTCCCAGGAATGGCGTTCCCTCACGATCCAGGAGCGTCAAAACGCAACAGTCAGGTTGATCCGTGGCGTTGGAATTCAAAGCACGATGCTTTGGCATGCATCAGGGTCTTCAAACGGTTGTTTTCCAACGACGCAGTTCCCTCAGTGGAAATTCACCCTGGTAGGGGCCTATGAAGAGGGAGCTTGGAGGGAGGGTTCATTCCAACATCGTTGAAGACTCTTTGGTTTACTCTGGTACTCCTCCTCCTCCTCGTCATCATCAGCATCATCACATCATCAGCACCATCATCGTCATCATCATCATACTCATCATCATCAGCATCAGCATCACATCAGTATCACCATCCGCATCACCATCATCATAGTACCCACATCAGCATGATGATCATCATCATCATCATCATCATCATCATCATCATCATCATCATCATCATCATCCTCATCATCATCATCATCATCCTACTCGACATCAGCATCATCAGCATCATTATCAGCATGATCATCATCATCATCCTCATCATCAGCATCATCCCCACCATCATCATGAGCATCATCATCTTCACCCTCATTCATTCTCACAACCATCACAACCATCATCATCATCATCATCATCATCATCATCATCATCATCATCATCATTAAGATCAACATCAACATCAACACCGTCATCATCATTAGCATCATCATCATCGCCACCGTCACCGTCATCGTCATGAGTGTCCTCAGTGTCATCAATGCCATCCATGTCATCAATGCCATCAACGTCATCATAACCATCATCATCAACAACGCCATCATCATCATCAGCATCAACATCATCACCATCATAATGAGAATCCTCGTCATCATCGGAATCAACGTCACCACCACCAGCATCATCATCATCATCATCATCACCATCATCACCACCTCATCACCACCACCACCATCACCACCACCACCATCACCATCACCACCACCATCATCATCATCATCATCAGCAGCAGCAGCAGTAGCATCATCATCATCATCCATGGTTTGCCCTCCCTCCTCGTCCATCCGCCTCCACCCCCGTCCAGCCCTCCCTCCCCCCTCCCTCCTCAGTCCTCCTCGTCCTCCTCCTCCTCCTCCCCCCTCACACGGCCTCGCAGGGGCTCTTCACAGGTCCTCCCTCGACGACGTCGCCGTCGCCGTCACCACCCTCTCTCCCGTCATCGCCGTCATCGCCATCGCCGAACGTGGCGCCCCCGCTGGCACTCGGGCCGCCCTGAGCCCCCGCAGTGTCTGCCGCGGCCCGGCGGGCTCGGCATGCCGCCGCCTCTCTCGGAAGGCGGCCGGGCCACCAGCACTGCCCCCCACCTCCCCCCTGGGACTCGCTCGCAGCTGCCAGCCCCCTCCGCCGCCGCCGCCTCCTCCTCCTCCTCCTCCTCCTCCTCCTCCTCCTCCTCCTACTCTTCCTCTTCCTCCTCCTCCTCCTACTCCTCCTACTCTTCCTCCTACTCTTCCTCCTCCTCTCTCTCTCTCTCGCTCTCTCGGCCATGGTGTGCGTCGGCCGCGGGCTGTCGCCCCTGAGGGGCGGAGTGATCAAGCTAGTGGGCCAGGCGACTCCAGGGGCGGCCGCCCCTGGAGTCGCCGGCTGGTAGATAGCAAGGGGACTGAGGAAGACAGACAGCAGACAAGATGGAGAGAAAAGAGGAACGACACCTGATTACCTCAAATCGGGGAGAAGTGAGGGGGGGACTGCGGCAGTGGCGTTGCGGCGGTGGGTGATTGCTGGGCGCCTGCAGGCTGAGACAGGATATGACGTGCAAACTCGTTCTGTGGCACTGCGCACTCTGGCAGGCGCGGCTGGGGGCAACGCTCGTCGAAGATAGGGGCAGCACCAAGGCTCGTCCGTCGCAGGTCCCGATGGAAACGACCCCCAGCCGTAGCCAGGGAGCACTCACCCACCGAGGTGGGCAAAGGATTGCCGTGGGCACGACTACTGGTGGCCACCCACGGATCCACACCGGATAAGAGGAGGTTCGTGCCCTCGGGTGGCGGTTGCCCACAGGGGGGCTGCCTGACATTGAGGTTGGGAGGATGAGCCGTGTGGCATATGCGCTGACAGTGTCGTCCCCGCCCGGGGCTCGGCACCCCGCCCCCCCCCCAGCAATGGACAAGGGGTGGCGTGCGGTGTGCAGAAAGGCGTGCAAAGCGGCTGGGAGAGGGAGAAGTAGGAGGAGGAGGGAGGAGGACGACGACAACGATGACGAAGAGGGTGACGACGACGACGACGATGACGACGACGACAACCACCACCACAACGACGACGACGACGACGACGACGACGACAACGACGACGGCGGCGGCGGCGGCCGCGCTGGCGGCGGTAACGGCAGCGGCGACTCCGACGACGGCGGCGGCGGCGAAGACGCCAACGACGGCGGGAGAGGAGGTGGAAAGGGCAGCGCTGAGGCGGGTGCCCAGCTGAGGCGGTCGCGGGCCCACCGGGCCTTGCCAGCAGGGGTGGGGAGAGACTCGCGTTAGTCCGACGTCGTCCTCGTCCTCCCAAGCCTGCTCCTCCTCCTCCTCTTCCTCCTGCTCTTACTCTGCCTCTCACAAT